AAAAAACAACCATAAGTCAAAAACTCACAAAAAAACCCAAAAAAGATACAAATGTTTATTTGATTAAGTCATTTTAACTATAGCCAGATAAGTCCAATGCAGCAAATTGTGAGATGAGTCTCAGTAGTATGCATGTTCAGTATCAAGCCCTCCAATGGCTCCCTGGAATAAGGATAGCTTAAGGAACCCATGTGCTAGAATCCCACACTCTTTATAGAAGGAACTGTCAGTGGAAACAACTGTCACTGTATTCTCTTCCTATTACTGCCCCTTTGGGTCAATTAGCCCTATACCTCTCTCCTTCCCTGCAGTGGGATGATTAGGTCACACAGACCATAGGTGAACAGATCTTCAATCTACCTGGGAGAGGGAAAAAAAAAAAAAAAGAAAAAAAGAAAAAAAAGAGTGGCTCAGTATTAGCACTATTTTACAGAAATTGCACCTGGTTTGCTACACATGCAGAACTGCATCAAAAAAAAGGCTCATTTGGCTGTTGGGAATTAAAAAGTTATTCAGTTCTGCAAATCACAGTGTCTATCAACATCCAGTAAAGGAACAGCTTGTTTTCCATCAAATACCCACAGAGTTCCCATTGATACTAGCTGGAAACATGCATGTGGAAAGCATAATAAGTTTGTCTTCTTGCTAGCATAGGGGAACACACACAACTAAGTAAGAAACAGGCCCTAAAGAATCCATCCTTCTACAGATACATCCATATGGATGCTTACATATTTTCTTCTTGCAGTAGCTCTAAGCACACAAAGATCAACACTTCATAAAATATCTGCAAATTTTCTCTAAAGAATCATAAAATGGCCTGGGTAGAAAAGGACCATAATGATCATCTGATCATAATGATGCTATGTGCAGGGTCGCCAACCACAGACCAGGCTTCCCAGAGCCATATCCAGTCTGGCCTTGAATGCCTCCAGGGATGGGGCATCCACAACCTCCTGGGCAACCTGCTGAAGCTTCACAAAGTTTAAGTACTTCTGCAGTTCTGTTTGAATTTAACTGCATTCTAAAGACATTTGTAATTACGTGCACTAATATTTTTCATTGACATTTATTTATAAGTCTATTTGCAGCAACAAGTTCCCCATACTTTTTAAGTTTCTAGGAAATTTGCTTTTTTGCTTAGAATTAGCTTTTAGTTTAGATCTGCATTTTGCTACCATAGCTTCGATATCCAGTCTTTAGAGAGAAAAACGTAAAACTTCTCAAAATAAGAGCAGACATCTTGTATAACACGTGTGTGTGTATGTAAGCACATGTTTGTGCATAAATGCTGAAGGTTTTTATTTGTGATGTTATAGATTCAGGCTTCACGAAGTGAGCTTTAACACCTGAAGAGCAGAAATAGCAAATTCATGAACACTCCCTCTCAGTCAATGCTCAGGGAAATACACACTGTTATCTTTATGTGAATATAAACACTGATTCTATGGGCATCTTGCTGGTATTTTGTAGTGGATCATTACTGCAGCTAACAAATCAGGAAGTACATAAATGTAACGTGGCCTAGAAAGAATTTATAAAGCCTTTATAAGCAGAGATTTCACACTCTCCTCGCCCTCATATTTAATTACAGCGCTTTCTAGTGCCACACAATTCACAGTTACTATTAAAAGTAATCTATTCAAAATTATTAGCTAGGTGTAAAGAACGGAATGAGATATTAAACAAAGGAATTGGATATTAAATTAAAGGTTATGCATTCAAAATATAAAAATAAAAGTGAACACAGATCTTTTAACTTAGATATTATGCTACCCTCAAACAAATCATTACTGAAAGCAAAAGCATATAAAACAATGCAATTTAGTTTCAACAGTGAGTGATTTGTAAATGATTATATATGGTACAAGATTTCAAGCTTTCTCAGGCTTTTTAAATACAAGTCTGCACTCATTCCTATTAGGGCATCATGGTATTAATCTAAAATAAATAACCATAGTAGCAGGACAGGATACCATTTGCTGCAGAGAGAAAATCTCTCATTTTAAATCTGTGCTATCCTGGAACTTAGCCAAAACACCAACAAAATTCTGCTCTACAGAAAGCCAGCATGTCATGCAAATGCATTCTCTTAACAAGCTAAGGCTGCACTCTTTCCTCTCTTGGTATCCGAGCACAGTTGTTCATAGGTGAGAAAAGTGAGATTCCGGCAGACACGAGTATTTATTCAAGGTGTATTTTGAGATGTTCTAAATAGATAATGGGGCAGGATCAACATGAAGGTAAAAATAGAATACTTGAAGGCTTCATTTTGATTTTTCATATGCAATTTGTATCAATTAAGTAAGACACGCAAGATACAACACCATGGAGTTTGCCTTTTGTACCATTCAAGAAGCAAAAATGTTAAGAGTACGCTCAGTTTGATGTACCCAAATAAGAAAACAAAGGATGCTGATGAGTGAATATACCAAGCTCGGTTGTCTCTTGACTTTCTTACCTCATTTACGTAGACCCAGTGACTATCTTTTGATGCAAGGTTGGTCTCCACAGCCTAAAAAAAAAATAAGAAGAAATATAATAAAAATAAATAAAACATGAAATATATTCCAAAGAGAATTTACAATGCAAGGTACTGTCACATTTTAGTTTGAATACTTTATTTTCCATTGGTATTGTTTCAGTATAGTACTTTCCAATTCTTTGATTGCTACTTGATTGAGAGGTACTTTATGAGTTGCAGTCACATTTCTCTGACTACTGCACCCAAACCAAAGTCCCATGTACCATTAAGATAATCTATAAATGTAGCACGAAGGCATATTGCATCATGGTGGTATATCAGTATGATAAGGGATCCTGTAATGAACAACTGCACTCAGAACATATGTGGTATGCATGTATTTTAGAGAGCTGTTTTGAAAGTAATGCCTCCTATTTTATTCCTTTGGCCCATGACATCAGAGGCAGTCATGGTGGTATGGCAGTAGAGATTGAAACTTGATGCCATGTGACAGATGACAGCAGAAGGGCAATCTGAAAGAACGGCTTTTGACATGGAAGGGTGTATGAATTAAAGGAATGTCACTGAATTTCTCTATGCGGAAAAGTGACATCTACTGACATTCATTGATGTTTGCTGAACATTTATGGAGACCAAGCAAACCATTTATGGATGTAAGCAAGAGAGAGGCAGTGGGTGGTGCATTTCAACAGAAGCAACAGTGGCTCACCTCCACTGGTGCAGATTTCTGCAAGCATGCAGGCTCTTGCTCATCACTGGAAAACACATAGCTAAAGGTTGTGACTGTGTTGAAAAAGACTGCATTGTAGCTGAGAATTTGATCTACCAAAAAGTGCTATTGTGCTCTTTGTAGCTGTTGTAGCTATTTCTGCTTCTCATGGAGAGAAAAAGGAGGCATTACTTTCAGAGGGATATATACATAATGAATCCTAGTAGGCTGGTTTTCTTCTAAGCATGCCTCCCAAATATATTACTTCTGCCTTATTACAACTCTGTTTGTTTAACTTTAGTTAACCTATTTAATTAAAAACACCGCTCTGAGACACTCAAGAGACACTCCTATGAGTCATCCTCTCTTCACATTTAAGCAAGACCCAAGAGAAAGTTATGATTTGCATGGACACTTTTTCCAGTTTCCTGGTATGGACTTGGATAATGATTTCATATTATAAAGAAAAACAGTTCATCTAATCAGACAGCATATTTATCAGCCAACAGACAGCCCTCAAGGTTCACTAGGAAGGTAAAACTGGAAAAGACCACCAGCACAATAGCCACTAATAGTAATGAGAATCTTGGTGGAAAGATTTGGTAATATACGTGGAAGTTCCCAGTTGCCCCCTTTGTTTAACAGTGATAAGTTATTCTGTAGTGTCATAAAACTATATCAAGGATCAAGAGGTGTACACCACAGTAATTATGATATTGCTAATGTCCTGCTTAACACACAGTTAAACAACTATTGTGGATTCAGGTCACCTAATAAAATGAGACTGTCCCAGCACACACTTGTATTTCAGGAGGCAGTTCATTACACAAAATCAGTTTTTTATGTCACTGCATTTCTTCTTCTATGTCAATACTATCCATTTTATTGGGCAGATATTCTTACACCACGTTATAAATTGCCCTATGAATCATTGTAACGTACCTAGTTAAAAAAGACAAACACAAATGAACAAAATCCTTTTAAGTTACTGCTTTTTAACCTGGATAATTTCAGCACCATGATCACTCTTTGTGGCCTCAAAAACAACTGCACTGATAGGCTCTATAGACTGTGGCTAGGCTGGAAAGGAACAGCATCAACAACCTTTCTCTCCAAACACATTTGCATAATAAGACACTCAGATATTTTGCATCAGATGGGATGAATCACCTTCTCTTATGACACTGACTCCAGATGACTGGCTGAACATAAACCCCCATGATTTACAAGGCTGAAGTGCAATGACAAGATATCTGTCTTTAGTATAGACAAAGGGAATACCTGATCCTAGCAAGAAAACAAAACAAAAGCTGGCTAAGCCAACATCAACATTTTAAACGTCACTCTTCATTAATACTGTGTTAAAAAAATACATGTAAATTACTTACTTAAGTAACAGTGTTTTAAAACTATACTTGTTATCCAGTCTACTTAAACAAGAGAAAAAACATTGGCCAATAAACAGATCTCAATCTATTTCTCATGTCCAGAAGGTGAAGAACTCCTTTAAAAAGACAAAAATTCTTAAAGAAAAAAATCAAAAAGAAGTCAAAGGAGAAAAATCATCACAGACAGGACACATTATTTCTCATCAGCCTCATAAACAGCATAATGGAGAATGAGAACTGCTAGAGACAAGATAATCCTCTCAGTACGCAGTGAAAAAATTGTCTCCTTTGTTTAATTGCCTACTTAGCATTTCTTTTAAATCGGCAAGAAAATTAAACGGACCCCTTAACTGAAGAATTGTAGCTGCTATGAAAGCTAATCCTAACAAAACTCGTAGATTGTCTCCCCATTCTTCCCTCTAATATGTTCTTCAGACAAAGCTAAAATAGCCCATATAGTAACGTACAGAGGAAAAACAAAGAGCTGCCAACATTAGGAAAGCAGAACTAAATAATGCTCAGGTACAGAGTTATTGCACTGGCTACGTTTTGTGAGTTATCTGCAACAGTGAGCGATTTGTATGAATAAATACTAAGTCGGGGGTGCTGAAATAGCCAGGGAATTTCAAATGAATTATTCTAACTCATTCTTCTGGGTTCACATATCTGGGCCAAGGTTTTTAAAAGAGATTGACTAAATTTAGGATGCTCAGAGTTTATCTTTAGCCAAAAAAGTGCTAGTCCATTCAGCATCCCGTGCAAAAGTCAATGGCTCTTCACTCTAGAAGCCTGAAACATTTAGAAACATAACTGCATTTAGAAATGTAACTAGAGGTAGGCAAGTTTAAAAGTCTATAAATATCTTCTGTTTAGAGCTGCGCTGTATCCCACGAAGCAGTACTCTAAAACCAGACACACTGAGAGGAGGAAAAAACCTAAGTTTCAAATTTTGAGCCACATTTACAGTCACCCTAAAGAACCCCTCCATATCCTAAAAGGAACGGCTGAAAGAGATCATGAAGATTTCAGCCTTCGAATAGCACTGTGCTAATAGCATTGGAGGTGTGTTCACTGCCAGAGGCCCACAGAAATTAAAGAGTGTGAAGACCAAGGTCTTAGACACCTATGATATCATAAGCAAATTCCTTCAGAATTCTCCAAATAAATAAATATTATATAAGTTCGTAATATATGTTGTTTCTTGTTCATTAGAAAGGAAAAAGTATCTATACTTGGGAGATTGCGGTCATTCATTTTTAATTAGAATTTCAATATTCAAGCTGTTCAACATCTTGTCATTTGCTTAAGCTTTTGGCTCAAATCACTTAGAATTCTCTACAAAACATCCTGAAAAACCTATTACAGCCTATTTCATAAATGCATCCTTCATTAAAGAAAGCAGGGTAGGAATCTCTCATTGCTGCAGCTGAGGAAAACCTCTGAAATAGATTGTAGCAGGATTAATTGCTAAAATATGGGTTCTTCGGTGACAAACATACTAATATATGTACAAAAACAGCTATTTCTTTACATACTGTCTATGTATAGAGAGTCTGAGAATAAATGAGAGATTTCTAATCTGCTTATGAGATAAACAGTACCCTGGAAATTAAAGTGCATCTACATTTCTTTAATCTTAGACCTGCAAGTAGCTTCCACAAATTTGGAAAAAAGAGGTGTTGAGAGACTACACATCTTTCTTCCTCCCCGGCCACATTTCAACAACCAAATGTTAAAATACAGAACCCAAACTCAAAGATTTAAATCTCAGCTGATGAAACACTATTTGCAACAACATATAAAAGATACGAGCAGAACTCTGCCAGACTGGGAAGAGGGGAAAGAGAGCAGTGAATGTAGAAGACTCTTAAAACAGGATCTGAAATCTCAATGTTTGTCTTTCGATCTTCTGTTTCTCCTTCTTTCCCTTCTATTGCTAGTGCTCTCTGCTGAGAAATTATAAACAATGTAAAAAATATATTGTTGATAAAAATGATCACAGATTTTCATGTAGACTGTTTGGTTTATTTTTAAATGTATAAATTGAAACAATACATTGCTAAAAATCCATCTGTTTTATTCAAAATATTCATGGAGAACAAATATTTACATTGCTTTGTAAAGGAAGCAACTCTGTTCATTAGTTACAGAATTAAAGAGAGAAGTGAGAAAGGTTTGTAACAAATACAACAATGTTCAGAAAGAAAGCCATTCTGCAGAAAACAAAACAACCGAACCAGATGCAATTCATTCCTGACCTTTTCCAAAAATCTGAAATCAAGAACATTTCCAAGCAGATAGTGACAGGAAGTATCTGGCTGCTTTGCCAGGGTCAGCTCCTTAGCATTAAGAGTAAAAAGCTGGTTTGGTAGAAGGGAGCATGGAGATGAGTGTCCAGACACAACCTAGACAGTGAAAAGCAGATGAGTGTCCAAATGGAGAAGGGAAAATCATGTTTCAGTGACAGCTGAAGATGGCAAACACAAATAGTCCTGTTGTTTCTACAGTTCCAGAAGGAAAGGCTGCCACTCTGAAATTTGTGACAGAAAAGAAGCAGTGTGTGTTTTGCCAGGAAGGATATCAAAACAGGAAAGGATATTGTTCATTTTTTCACGGTAACAGTGGGGATAAAGAGCATCACAGCTTTCCAAGGGGAAAAAAATTAAAAAAAAAAAATCAAGTGAGAAGTGGTAAGTTCACAGTTGTAAAATCATTTGAAAAGTATCCTAAGAGACACTAAAAGAAAACAAAAGCAGAGTTTTAAGACTGATTACAGCTCGAAGTAGAGTGCAGATACACTTGCAACATGGAGAGTCTAGCTTAGGAGCACTGACAGATAGAACAGGAAATAGACTAATAGAATATCTCAAGTTGGAAGGGTACCATACAAATCACTGAATCCAACTACTGGCTCCAAACAAGCACCACCCAAA